CTGAGGGCTCCTCGGGGTGGACGCTCTCCTGCAGGACTTCCTGGATCTTGACAGCCCCCCGATGGACCCCCCCAGATGGCAGCCTGCAGCAAGTGCAGCCAGGCTGATGGCAACAACCCCACGAGATGCACCGGCATGCCCAGGGGGACCTCTGGCTCCATTTGGCCGAGTGCTGTGGTGTCTGGAGTGCGGGCACTCAGAGCACTCCAAGACAGGACTGCTTTGCTGTCCCTCATTGAGGTAGACAAGTCAGCAGGGAACCCTGAGAACTGTCTGTCTGGGGTGGGGGGTAGGCTCCCTTTAAGCACGGAGCTCATTTAGCCTCAGGCAGCAGCCCCACACACTAAGTCCTAACCTGATGCCCTGCCAGCACTGGTTCCGGCCAGCCTTAACTTCGGTTCAGGGTCCACTCAGTGTGGACGTGCTATTTCAAAATAGCAAAACGCTATTTTGAAATAGGTTTTGTGTGTAGATGCATTAATGCAAATTAGCTTAATTCAAATTAACTACTTCAAATTAAGTTAACTCGAATTAACATTGTAGTGTAGACATAGCCAAAGAGAACTTTTATGTTTATATCATTGTAGAAAAATACAAACATCCGAACATGAAGTGAGCTAATTTCTACATATTTCTGAGGGAGGGGAAGGAGAAATACCTTTATGGATTGGTTTGAAGTTCACATTTTGCTCTGAAACAGTATTGATTAGGTACCTTTAAAGAGAAACTGATTTCCATATATTTAAAATGAATCTGGACCTAGTAGTGGTCTTTTTTCAATTATTATGAGGGATTAAATTGTAAAAATGAAGAAATGAGACAGGAAAACACAATTATAATGTAGATTGTGGATGACTGGCCAACTGCAAAATAATACAAATAGAAACATTTTTACAGAAACAGATTCCCTAGCATGATATTGCTCTATGTATACAAGCTCACTCTATGCAATGTCTTACTTATATTGTTTTAACGGCAGCCCATCCTACTACCTATCTTCCCCAAAATAAAGCCCTAATGCTCTAGTAGTGTAATCACACCTGCTTTATTAGTTACACAGTGGACTGGTTAATCCAGATTCTGACAGATGTTACCCTATGACTAAAAAAGCTCTTCAAGGTGCTAAATGCCCTGAATCCAAGCTTTCGGACCACATGTATGCTCCTCACACAGAACTACTGGGCTGTGTCTAGACTGCATCCCTTTTTCGTAAAAGGGATGCAACTTAGACATATCCCTTATCCCTCTTAAAATGATAAGGGGTCTTTCGGATAAAGCTTTATTTTCCGAAAGATCCGCGTCTAGACTGGCGCTTTTTTCCGGCAAAGCTCTGAGCTAGAAAAAAGCGGCAGCCATGTTTATGCTAATGAAGCAGGGGGGATTTAAATCCCCACTTCATTTGCAATTGCGATATGTCTAATTTGCATCCCTTTTACGAAAAAGGGATGCAGTCTAGACCCAGCCCTGGTGTAGAACACACAGGAACACACACTCTGCATATAATAGTTATGCATTGGAACAAATTCATCAGCTGTGGAATCTCTGTCTTTGGAGGTTAAGAACAGGCTACGCAAAAACCTGCGAGGGATAATCTAGATCACTGATTTTAAAACATTTTTTTCTTTTGTAAACTCCTAAAACAATTCAAATGGACGTATGAACTCTCAGAGAAATCTTAGACATGGGGTGCTGACTGGGGCTGTCAAGCGATTACAAAAATTAATTGTGATTAATCGTGCTGTTAAACAATAATAAGACTCCAGCTGACCCCAGGCTCTGTGTTGCACTGCCCCTTTTGAAATGCTGCGGTGGTGTTTCAAAGGGGCAGCGCCGCACAGCTGATCACAGGCTTCATATTGTACTGCCCCTATGAAGTGCTACGGAGGTGTTTCAAAGGGGCAGCACCACATGGAAACGCTTGCGATTAATGCGCATTAATTTTTTTAACACATTAATTCGTCCCTGCATTAATTGCAGGCATTCATGTGTTAATTGACAGCCCTAGTGCAGTCCCCTACAGATCTAGTGACCACAGGTTGAAAACCATCATTCTAGATGCTACTACTTCTAATAATAGTTTTGCCCCGCTACAGGGGACTAAAGTAGATGAGGGTTTCTCAACCCTTGGATCAGGACCCAAAATTGTGTTACTAGAATGTTTCAAGGGTCACATGGCAGCTTTTATGGTTCCTGTCCTATGGGGTTAGCTGGACTCACTTCTGTCAGAGGGTGGGGGTTGGGAAACCAGCAATTGAAAAGGGCCTAGGGCTCCTGGCAGTGGTGGTGGCCAGAGCCCTAGGCCTTTTAAATTGTCTCTGGAGCCCCAGGTACTAACCTTCAGCTCTGCCTCTTCCACCCAAGGCCACGCCCCTTCTGGGAGCATGGAGTTGGCCTTCACACCCTTGCTCATGGGCCTAGTATGTCTATTGGCTCCCTTGGATGATGGGAATCCGGGGGTAACAACTTCACTCACACAAATTTCATCCAGTCAAGGGGATGGTCCAAACCTGATCAGCATTTCACTCCCAGAGGTTGCAATGCCCAGAGAGCAGAGCCAAGCACAACCAGCCCCACAGCACAGGAGCTGCAGTAGCTGCCACTGAGGGGTGAGTGCCTGGCAGGAGCCAACCCCAATAAGGGACAGAAACTGACCAAAACCACCCCAGAACCCCTATCCCCAGACTATTTATTAGGCAGAAACAGGCCATAAACTTTTACAAATGGGTCCTGAGGCCAAAAAGCTTAAGAAACACTGAACAGTATGACCTAGCAAGGTCCCTTCCAGTCCTACATTTCTGTGATGTGACACTGCAACAGGGTAAATTACTGAAGAATGTGGGCTATAGGAACAGCTGCTACATGATTCTGGAGTATGAGGGGTCAGCTCCATCACTGATTCACTCGGGGTATGTCTACACTACCACCCTCGTTCGAACTAGGGTGGTAATGTAGGCAACCGGAGTTGCAAATGAAGCCCGGGATTTGAATTTCCCGGGCTTCATTTGCATAAAGCCGGGTGCTGCCATTTTTAAATGTCCGCTAGTGCAGACTCCGTGCCGCGCGGCTACACACGGCACGGACTAGGTAGTTCGGACTAGGCTTAGTGTAGCCGCGTGGCACGGAGTCCGCACTAGCGGACATTTAAAAATGGCGGTGCCCGGCTTTATGCAAATGAAGCCCGGGAAATTGAAATCCCGGGCTTCATTTGCAACTCCGGTTGCCTATATTACCACCCTAGTTCGAACTAGGATGGTAGTGTAGACATACCCTCCGAACCCCTAGGACCATTTACTTGGGCTCTGTACAGAGTAGAGGATTTGAGTCTAGTAATGATTCTCCGCATTCCATTTAGCCTGTTAATAGTATGCTAAGTTACACCAGCAAATATTAATATGTCAGTCACAATCTTCATTGTTCCCTGCAGCCTATAGTGATTTTCTGTATCTCAAACTCACTACCTACTATTTTCTGTTATATCGGTGACTTAGAAACCTCCTCCATAGTTGTCATTTTAAAAGCTTATTAAAATATTGATTTTAAAATCAGATATTTCTAAGTCAACTTACTGTACTTTTAACGTTGTTTTCCCCCCATTATACTAAATTAAAGCACCATCTTGTTAATTAACAAACATTTCCTGTCCATGATCCTAGAGTCAGTGTAAACAGGGAGAAGTCATGTTCAATACTGTGTCACTAGTTTATGAGTAAATTATAAGGACCAGGTTTTAACCCCCAACCAATTGATACCATATTGTGCATGATCTGTCCCAGTCTACAGTGACTGCAAAGTCTTTTTCAGCATTGTGTCAGTTAATGTGACTCCTCAAGGTCATGTTCAAATGTAATTTTCTATTAGACATCAGGAATTTATCGAATCATTTTTCCACAGAGAATTGTTGATTTGCTAAAAATCAAAACGTACTGCAGAAATATGTCACTTATTCAAGTAGGAATAAGAAATCCTCCGGAAAAGGGCTTATTTTCTGGAGAATCGCGTCTAGACTGGCGCTTTTCTCCGGCTTATCCCCAAGCCAGAAAAAAGCGGCAGCCAATTAAATGCAAATGCCGCGGGCGATATTTAAATCCCCCACGGATTTGCAATTCCGACTGGTCTAATCTGCATCCCTTTTCCAGAAAAGGGGTGCAGTGTAGACACAGCCTATGTGTTTTATGAAATATGTTATGAAAAAAATAGGCAAAATCTGAATGAAAAATTGTGATCAGACAAAAGTTACCTCTTATCCCTACTCAAATTTCAGTTTGCAGGAAATGTTAACATTTTTTCAATTGTATATCCTCCATTTCACAAGGAAAGAAATTTTCAAATGGTGATACTGTACCTCAAAAAAAAAAATCTCGTTCCTGCACAGCTTTATGTTCTAGTAATGGCAAGCGCTAGAGGGGTTTATTCATTATTCAGTGTATAACTAGCGATGATGTACGTTAGATGCATGCATCAAGCCACAAATATCCCCTTACAGGTAACAGCTCTGTTGCTGTTATTGTTGTTGTTGTTTTTTAAGACAGGAGGAACATGTAAAGAAAAGGTCCTTTTGATTGCTATTACCTATCATATAAGGATATGTTGGTATGTTAGCAGACAGCCCAGCTGTTTCTGTACCTGTCTAAATTCACAATTCTTCCCTTGTTCCAGTCATTGTTGTGCTCTACATAGCACTGCGAAGGCAGAAGAAAAAAGACACCTTGATGACTTCTAAAGAAGACATCAGAGACAATGTCATCCATTATGATGATGAAGGAGGTGGAGAGGAGGACACCCAAGCTTTTGACATCGGTGCCCTGAGGAATTCAAAAGCGATTGAAGACAACAAAATACGCAGGGATATAAAACCAGACACCCTTTGTCTGCCACGTCAGAAACCACTAGTGGAAGACAACACAGACATTAGAGATTTTATTAATCAAAGGCTGCAGGAAAATGATGTGGATCCTACTGCACCCCCTTATGATTCACTGGCAACCTATGCCTATGAAGGAAACGGATCTGTAGCAGAGTCTCTGAGTTCTATAGATTCACTTACTACAGAGGCAGACCAGGATTATGATTACCTAGGTGACTGGGGACCCCGCTTTAAAATCTTGGCAGACATGTTCGGAGAAGAAGAAAATTATAACCCCGATAAAGTCACTTAGGAGAGGGGGAGAAACCCCAAAGGAAAAAATAAGAAAAGTAGACCAACGAATTAAAAATAAAACCCAAGCTTTATAGGACAAGATTCCCTTGATTATGAAAAGACCTGTTTCCAGCAAGTTACTATATTTATCATATTGTCAGTTTTGATTTGTTCTGCAAAGGGAGGATAAATCCTGTGAGACACTTTTTTTGTTGTTGTTTTTTGTTACTTTGGAAAAACACTGAGACAAGCTCAGGCCTATTAGCTACAATTTAATGACATGACAATGTAGACAGAAGCTAGCTTTCTGGCATCATGGTGGAAGAGTGGTAGATTTTTCTTAATTCCACTAAAGTGCCTATTGAAACTTTTATCATTTTAAGTGGTAAAGATTCTGCTTTGATGGCGTTACAGAACTGAACTGTAAACTGGAAAAAAAAGACATTAACTTTATGTCAAGAAGCAATAGCAACATGCTGACTTCTAGTTCTTTTAAAACAAAAATGAAGATAACTTTCTGGAGCACATCCAGTGACTACAACTCAAGGGGTAGTGTTTTGGATTTTAATTTTATTTTATTGTAAGGAATAATAATAACTGTATGCCAAGATATCACAATTCTTCTGCCCATGTTTCACTGAAAAAAATTAATAAAAATGCTATTACTTAATTTCAAGATGTAAAGATGAAAATTAAAAACATATCACACTTTGATCTTAGCATCAATAAGGAATATTTTGAAAGAATTAATCAATGTTACACTTTTTCCAGGATGAAAGAGAAAAGTATGCAAATATCTATTTCTTTACAGGAAGGAAACTTCCCTTAATTCCTGTTCATCATGTGCAGAGAGGTCATTGGTACATCTGTGGTGGTTTTTAGGGTTATTGTATTTTTTAGTATCAGTAGTGGGGTTTTTTTTATTGTAAGTATAACTAATGAAATATACATAAAGAACTTCACATGACTGTTCTTTGGAATTAGTTTGTCATTCTGTCAGTATTGTAGGCATACATGACCGAGAGGGCATATATGTTAAACTCAAGATATGTGATGCTTTGGTGTCAGTGCCACTACAATGTCAGATGTTTTCAAAGCTTGAAAGCATCATAAAAATGAAGTGTTCAGTAGTCTTCAAAAATATTCAGTGTTAGCTTAAATTAAATATGTAAAACTGTCTACCTGCACATTACATGCTCATATACCTAGAGGTATAGATATCATTTAAATCATGTAGCACACAGGCATGATTCCATAGAAGATTTATTTTGACATCATAAACAAAGTTCAAGAAACTGGAAGCTCTAGCTGGTGTTTCTTTGTATTACAGTTCTGACATTTTTCATCTGATATTTTTAGTGTGCTTTCCCCCCTTACAATTATAAAACAAACAAATAAACTATATGAACATCAATCAATTTGATGCTAATTGCTGGAAGGTGCTGCATAAGTATTAATATTAATGTTGAATTGTCTGCTGATCTAACATATATTACGTTTTTAGAAGCAGCAGTTTATTATAGCCCAAAGTGAATATAGCGTTTTTTCCCCCGCTCTGTCTCAGGCTTCTCCAGAGCTCTGTTATCTGCCTACACTGCACTTGAGGTTTATAGAATTTGCAGGGTGAGCAGAGTGAATTATCATCTTTCATTCACCAAGGGATTCCTTGCCATCTAAAGAACTAGTAAATGTCTAGCACATGTAACATGTTTTCATCAACTTAAAGGTTTGATTACAGTTTACTCTAAAGTCACTTTACACTGCTCTAAAAATAGGTGTAAATTACATTGTTAAAAGGGTGTAAAGGGACTGTAGCATAAATGAGAATCAGGTCCCTGCTGTACAAAAAACTTCATGACTCGTTTTGTAACATTTGCCAGAGAGTCTTAATTCAGCCAAAATTTTAATTTGTGCATTTTTTGTGTGCTGATTGATTTCTGTTGCAGACAGAAATGTTATAATCCCTCCTCTGCCCTTACAAAAAGTTAAATAGGACCTCCCACACTGTCCATCCCCCCCCAGTGAAGTCACATTCAGCGCTCAGAAACATTACTTAGGGTTCTTTACATATATTCCACTAGTAATCCTTAAAGTAGTGTAAGAGAGATCAGATTTTGGCCGTCTGACATTACAAAGCCTGAATGTCACCAAGGCTTTGTCTATACTGCCACAGTATGCTCACCTAAGTTATGTTACTCCAGGTATGTGAGTAAAGTATCTGGAGTAATGTAGATTAGGTTGATTTACTACACTTTCTATACTGTGCTGTGTCAATGGGAGATCTCTGCCATTGATTTATTTTAATCTTCTTATTCTGGTAGAAAAGATTAAGAACTTGTATCAACTGGAAAGTACTCTGTGGTTGATTTAGTGGACCTTTGCTAGACCTGCTAAACAGACCACTGCATCAATCATTGTAGCATTAATCTCCAGTGAGTAGAAACATGGTCTAAAACGTAAAGCTCCACTGAATATGGGGATATTCGGGCTTTGGAATGCCAGGCTGGCATTTTCAATGGACAATACAACTTAGATGCCTAACACTGAGTAGCCTGTAAGAATGATCACAGAATCATAGTGCTGGAAGAAACCTCAAGAGCTCATCAAGTCCAGCTCCCTGCCCATAGCAGGACCAATCCCAACTAAATCAACCCAACCAGAGCTTTGTCAAGCCAAGAGTTAAAAACCTCTAAGGATGGAGATTCCACCACCTCCCTAGGTAACCCATTCCAGTGCTTCACCACCCTCCTGAAATAGTTTTTCCTAATATCCAACCTAGACCTCCCCATGTCATTGCTCACAATATATATTTAACAAGAGAGTTGGTGTCTGCTAAATAAATAAAAAATATCAAATTCATATTTTGACATTTAAGAGGTTTGTTTCTGACATGTTCCTATCACCTAGTTAATTAAATTCTGGCAATTTTTTTAATTAAATGAATTAGTATACAATTATTAATGTAATTGTCCATCTCAATTAATATCTTTAATTTCATACACTTAATTTTAAAAGTTTTCAAATATTTTTAACTTCTTGATGAAGTTCCTATTGGACATAGATACTTGAAACAAGCTAGGAGGATGGGGTTGTAGATAATGTGTAGTTTGGGTACCCTAAGTTATAGATCCGTGGTCACCAACTGGTAGATCATGATCTACCGGTCGATCTCAGTGGCTCTAAGAGTCGATCTTGAGCCCTCTCTGCACTGCGCATCTGCACAGTTCATTTACATTTGATTTCCTCATTTGATGAGCAGCTACTTACCGAGCAACAACACAGGTGAGTAGCTGCACGGAATGGTGGGAGCTGGGAGGTCAGGAGGGCTGAAACACCCCAGCCAGCTGGCTGTGGCTTTCAGCTGAAAGAGGCTGCCCCACACTCCAGCAGATCGAGCAGCTTTTCCTCTGCGCCTGCCTGCGTGGAGTGTGGGGCACCCTGGCTGAGCGCCATGGCCAGCTGGCGATGACACCAGCTGGCCACAGCGCTCAGCCAGGGTGCCCCACGCTCCACATGGGCAGGCACAGATGAGAAGCCGCCCGATCAGCTGGAGCACGGTTCAGCCTCCTTGGGGCTGAACGCCACAGCCAGCTGGCCAGGCAGCTTCCTGCCCTGTTCTCAGCCCAGGGAGGCTGTGTCTAGCTCCAGCTGTGATGGAGCAAGCTTCCCAGGCTGAGCACAGGATCAGATGCCCATCTGATGGACTGTATATGACTAGCAATCTCAGACTACAACCCAGACTTCAAGACACTGGCAGATACTGTTCAGTCACAGGTGTCACACTGAGACTTTGTTATTGGAGGAAAAAATATATAATTATCAATACTTGATTTTAGATTTAAAAAATAGCAGAGAACAAAATGTATAATTGTAAATGCTTCATTTTACATTTAAATAGCATGAATTAAAAACAGACCATTTATTTAAAAACTATAAACATGTGATTTTAATTTTATATATTGCATAATTTAAAAATAAACTGTTTAACAGAGGCTGTGTCTACACTGGGCCACTTATTCCAGAAAATCAGCCGCTTTTCCGGAATAAGCTGCGAGCTGTCTACACTGGCCCTTGAATTTCCGGAAAAGCAATGATGCTCTACTGTACAAAATCAGACGCTATTCCAGAAAAACTATTCTGCTCCCGCTCGGGCATAAGTCCTTATTCCGGAACACTGTTCCGGAAAAGGGCCAGTGAAGACAGCCCAGTAGTCTTTTCCGGAAAAAAGCCCCAATCGTGAAAATGGCGATCGGGGCTCTTTTCCGGAAAAGCACGTCTACATTGGCCACAGAAGCTTTTCCGGAAAAAGGGCTTTTCCGGAAAAGCAGCCTGCCAATGTAGACGCTCCTTTTCCAGAAAAACTGAAAACGGAATAGTATTCCGTTTTAAGCAGTTCCGGAAATTCATGCCAGTGTAGATGTAGCCAGAGTGTATAAGGGCTGGGGATAGCAAGTGATGGGCAGGAGAATAGAGAGGGCGTGGCTTCAAAAAGGGCGTGGCTTCAAGGAAGGGGTGGGGCTTCAAAGAAGGGGCAGGGCGGTAGATCTTCGCCTGTTCTGAGATTTAAAAAGTGATCTTGGGTGTAAAAAGGTTGGAGACCACTGTTATAGATAGTAATAAGTTACCAAGACCAAGTGGTATTCAGCCAAGATTTCTGAAAGAACTTAAACGTGAAATTGCAGAACTATGATTTTAAATAATTTAAATCATTTTCTCTACCACATAGTAGAAATATAGCTAATATAATGCCAGTTTTTAAAAAGGGGTCCAGAGAGATCCTGGCAATTACAGAATGATAAGCCTGATTTTGGTACCAGGAAAACTGGCTGAAATTATAGTAAAGAACAGAATTGTCAGACGCATAGATGAACATAATTTGTAGGACAAGTGTCAACATGTTTTCTATAAAGAGAATTCATTCAGGGGTTCAATGAGCATGTGGACAAGGGGATTTAGTGTACTTAGATTTTCAGAACGCCTCTGACAATGTCCCTCAGTAAAGGCTCTTAAACAAAATAAGGTGTCATGGGATAAGAGGGATGGTCCCCTCAGAATGGTAATTGGTTAAAAGATAGGAAACAAATGGTAGGAATAAATGGCTGCTTTTCAGAACAGAGAGAGGTAAATAGTGGTGTCCTCCAGGAGGTCTACACGGAGACCAGTCTTATTCAATATGTTCATAAATGATCTGAAGAAACACAAAAGCAGTTTTGTGGCACAATTTTTCAAATGATACAAACTGCTCAAGACAGTTAAGTCCCAGGCAGACTGTGAAGTGCTACAAAAGGATCTCACAAAACTGAATTTCTGGGGAAGAAAATGACAGATGAAATTCAATGTTATAAATCAGGGGTCTCCAAACTTTTCTGCCCGAGGGCCGCATTAACTATCAAACAGCAGTTCGGGGGCCGACTACACACTTGAGGTCCAAATAAAAACAATCAAAACATGGATGTTGTTTTTAATTATTTATTTAATATTATTTTATTCAGTTATTATTTAATAACACATTGATACACTACACATGAACACCTGTATTAGTGTGAATGGTGAAATTGTTTCCTGGATGCCAAAATAGCAGACATTTCTGGCTTTAGATTTGTTGTCCCTAACATCAACAGTGACCTGAGATTATCATCGGACAAGTTTGTTCTCAA